CGGCGATAAATATTCGTTTTATCGAAATTTGATTTCTTTATAGTATGATCTATTTAGTTTTTTTATTAAGTGTTTAAAACAATAAAATTTTTAGTTATGCAGAAAACTTAGTTATTGCGGAATTCATTATACAGGAATCTGTATTAGGCATTGTTCGCTGCTTGGATGAAGATCATAATCCTCGAAATGTTGCCACTTTGTATTGTTGTTCAAAGCATCTGCAGACAATGGCCGATGCCTGTAATAAAGTATCTACGAACAAAGTTCCGGCCTCTTTCTAGACTGGCTTATCAAATTGCGCTTTCTGAATAACTTTTTGAGCGGTGACCCCCGGAAACATGTTTGTCGTGCTTTGTGCTTCTTTGATAGCCAAAAGAGGATTGAAGTTGTTTTTCCTATCCACTTTGTTAGTTGGAACTGTGTCTTCATTACTTGACTTCAGAATGCCGCTGAACCTGATTAATGACGAGTTGAAGGGTGAAGCACGTGTATTGTGGCCTGTGAGGGATAGACTAAGTAATATTTCAGAAAAGACTGGGAAGAACTATCACTGCTTGGTAAGCAGATCTTAGTGAACTTCAGTTCCTTCTGCCGAATTATGCGAGCGACAGTTAAAATAGTACGCATCCTGGCAAAATTCCTGAAAAGCAAATGGAAATGGGCAGCGGTTAAAGATCTGACCTGTTCGAAACTTTCATCCACTTAGCGGCTAACATATGCTGTACGTCTTTGTAACAAGCGTGAAAGACCATTTTCTGACGAGGGTATTCAAGACTAGATAAAGCTTTTAGTAGCTGAGGTACGCAGAAATGCTTTTGAAAATGGATATTTGGCTTAAAGATATTTTGTGCTCACCCTGAAGAGGAATTTCATCCAGAGTAGGCGCTACAGTGGAATGGTGATTTACCCATGGATAAAACAATTATGATTAGCTAGAATCTTGCGAATCCCAAACAGCGAAATTCTGATGATTCTCTTGTTGCGAAGTTTGGCTTGTGAATCGTAAGCTGTTTTCCTGCCAATTTTTTTTTAAAAATTATTTTAAACGCTTGTATAAACTGTTCTGTAGCTTGATTTTTTATTATTTATGATTTTATGTTTTGTTTATAGCGCATCTTGAAGCGCCAAGAAGATTATTCTCTTCTAAAAACGTATGTTCGTGAATGGCAGAAGTATTATGCGCAGTCATTGTATTTGCCAGAGCCGTTTCGTTCCTTGGAACCAGCCATGTACGGCAGTCGGTCGCCTCAGGCGAATCCAAAGAGCGCTCTGAACCTCAAGAGTTCAAAGTCGTACCAGGAGGAGAGCTTCGTACGTAAGGTAGCCACTGCATGCTGTTTCTCTCATCAAACGACCGTCAGTGACATCAATTTTTAGATCATGTTGGAAACATGGAACAGAATAATCTTTTACAGCATCAAAGAACGACTACAAGCCGCTGCAATGAGACTGGTATTTTTGGAACGCAGCAACGAAGATTTCGACGCGCAGTTGGTCGTCGGCGTGCGCCAGTCTTTCGGTAACAGCTGATGCGTCGCTTTCGAACTCTGTTCGGCCGAGTTTATTTATCTGATGTGGCCCCGTACGATCACGGCAGCCACTAGATAATGCATATGCAATGATTGTGATCTACAGGCTTCCGTATTTTTTGGTGGCCTTTCTTAACCGTCACAAAATATTGAGTTGTCGAGTTCAAATATGACGAACGTTGTAGCTTGAACTCATTACCAATCTGTGATGTTTTGGCTAGTCGTTTGATCGCGAATTTGCATCAGTATAATTCACAGATGTTTGTCCAATTGTACCCAATTTTTGGTTTATCCCTCCGTGTTCCATATCCATGAAAAGCTCATTGTCAAGCTTTCATATACTGAATTTCAAAAATTCAGTTTTGCTTTTCGATTCCGCTGTGTCAAACAGCGTGAGGCTGTTAACGGCGTTGGGTCAGTGCAGCCGTTACTGTTTAACTGCTTTTATGGATGTGATGCTTATTTATTAATGTGCATCTATTGATTGTGCAGAGTACGTGCCAGACGAAACACTGAGCTAAGTCATTCCTGTCATAATATGCCTAGCAAGGGTATTTACTGTTGTTATTTTCAGTGCATCTCTTTTAGCGCAGATTGCAGGAAATGGCAGCCAGAGCGTGGCTAAAGCTGATAAGCCCAACTCTATTGTTTATACTTCTTTCTGCCATTTGCCAATAAATGTATCCTACCAAGTGGTCGACCAATCACGACTTCGATAAAACGCCTGACGAAATTTATAGTGGAAATATCCCTTAAAAGCACGAATCCAGAGAAAAATTACCTTTCTTGTCACTTTAAGGTAAATGCATGAAAGTATTGCACCATTCTACTAATTCTGAAATTCTGCAACTGAATCGTTGCTACGAATGTTCATCAACTTTCTTGATTATTCAAGTCTTGCATTTGAATTTATTGCTCTATTTCGATTTTTCCGTTGGCTTCGTTTGTTTCGTCATAGTTATTCTTTCGAAAACGTAAAAAAATCTTTCTCAGGTGAACTGCATTTATTTTCGTTTTGATGGAGTCACTGCGGCAACTCCGTCATGGCCGGTCCCAAGCCCGGATGAGAAAGGAGGAGGGTTGGAGACCGTGGCAAGTCTCCG